CTGTGTACTGTAAATCTGACCTTTTTTTTAGGTTGTATTCCTGTCCACTTAGGAGTGTGAGCTATTACAACTTATTTTTATATGTGTGGCACATGTTGTCTTCTAGATAATAAATGTAACAGGGAAAGTGGGAACTTATAATCACAGCAGGTTTGCAGACCTAGGAACTCACACCAATAAAGTCCTCAAGATATACAAGAAATTGCCAGGTAGCTTAACTCTCGCTTCTACCAAAAACTGATATATGAATTCTGGGTGCACTGACCCTTTTAGGAAATGGTTGATGGTACAGGCAGACATAGGAACTCACATCCATAAAGTCCTCGAGAAATGTAAGAAATTACCTGGTGGCTTAACTCTCCAGTATCTACCAGAAACTGATATATCAATTCTCGCTGGACAGACACCATTAGGGATTGGTTGATGGTACAGGCAGACCTAGAAACTCGCATTAATAAAGTCTCCGAGAGATATAAGAAATTGCCAGGTGGCTTTTCTCTCCAGCATTCACCAAAAACTGATATATGAATTCGAGGTGGACGGACCCTTTTAGGGGGTGATTGATGGTATATGCATGATCCAACTGTCCTCCAGACGCGGTCTCACTTGAGCACTGTGGAGTGCTCTGCTATTGTGTAAGCATGGTTGAGCTCATTTAAGCAGCTTGGCAATATGTAGAGAACTGTAAATTCTGGAAATAAATGACTAAACACTAAGCTTTCTGGTCAGTTCCAGGATTGACATTTGGGACCTAATTAAAATAAAACTTCCCAACTGGGCCTCTGAGACTCTGGGTCCTTCCTTTGATGTCGGGGCTTAGCTCCACTCCTATTCATGCTACAACAGTAATAACAAGCATTATTACATGCTACTTAATGAATAAAAGAGCCCTAGGAACTCTAGTATGGTTCCTAATATCCGATGTCACATGCTACTATTACCCAGGTCCTGTGAAATCTACGCGATATCGCCTCTGTACAAAATATCCCAGGAATTTGTCTTTTTTTGCGAGATGTAATTAAATTGTGGCTAATTATGCGTCCCTTGTCAACATCACAGCGAAGTATTATGCTGGAGAACTTTTTGTGCTTTTGCCATTCTGGAAAAAATACATTCTTCTGTCTCACATGTGAAATAATCTCTTTGTTTTTCTAATTCCTCGCTCTCAGAGCTGCCTGAACTTTCATGGTGGAATTTTAATTTTAGAGTGAATGCCAAATCGGATCTGAGCCTTGGTGAACCTGATAAGTGGCGCAGAGGCTAGGGGTTGACATGAAATGCATTGTGCAGTATGGGAATGTCATTAGCTAATATTACCGGATTTGTCTATAGAGGTTTTACTGTTGGTGGGTTAATTAGGTTTTACGTGGGGCTACTAAGGGTAAAAAGGTTGATAATCAACATTATGCCTTCAAAACAGTAGCATTTTTATTGTCCATGCTCAGTAACGATCCCGGTCAAACCATAACCTCTTTTACTTATATGTCCATGTGCATACAGAATGTGTTTATATACTGTATGTTTGTGTATGTACAGTCATGTAAAAAAGTAAGTACACCCCATGGAAATTGTTGACTTTCTTAACATTTGTGAACAGACAAACATTAGACCTTCATGCAATCAGTGCCTACAGATAAGTTATATACTGTACATGAACAAATGACACATAATATAGAAAGCGTGTATACATTCCTATAATATCAATTAATGAAAATGCAGATTTGTAACATGGAAAAAAAGTAAGTACACCTCTACATTTACCACCGCTTCAAAGTCATGATATTCCGGTGTTCCAGGTTAAGTGCCAACAATTAGAGTTCACTAAGGACCTCAGGAAAAAAAAAAGGTTGTGGATGCCTAGGAGTCAGGCAAGTGATTTAAAAAAATTGCCAAATTATTCCACTGTGAAGAAAAATTATCTATATGTGGCGTAATTTTCAAAATACTGCTAGTGTCTTGCTGGCCCGGCATATTCAACCCAAGAACCAATTATTTATTGCTAAAATTAGTCTCCAAGAACCTGAAAATGTAACTGTGGAATCTGCAGGTAACTGTTTTACAACGGTTGGTGTCAAGGTGCATGTACCTACAATCAGACAGAGATTGCACCAATTTAACCTGCAAGAGAAGTGTGCCAGGAAAAAGCTAAGACTGTCCAAAAGTACATTCTAGCAAGACGACCGTTTGCCATTAAACATACAGGCAAAAGCCAGGGTTTCTGGAACAATGTGCTGTGGACTGAATCAAGGATATAACTATGTGGCCATGGTTACAGTAGACTTGTTTGGTGCAAACTAAATACAGCATTTCAGAAAAACCTTATGCCAACCATTGAACATGGTGGTGAACGTATTATGGTTTGGGGTTGCTTTGGTGCTTTAGAGTCTGTGCAGCTTACAGTCATCAAGTCAACTTTGAATTATGCATCATATCAAAGTGTAAGGCTATTTGTCTGAAAGTTGAAGTTTAACCAGAAATGGGTCTTTTATCAGAAAAACGATCTGAAGCACATTCAAAAATCCACAAAAGAATGTCTCCAAACAAAATGGAGGGTTATGAACTGGCCTAGGTAATGCCCTGATTTGAATCCCATTCAAATGTTGTAGGGGATGTGAAAGGGACAGTTCATGCAAGAAAACCCACAAACATTGTACAACTGAAGACATTTTGCATGGAGGCGTGGTCCAGACATTTAGCAATATTTACAAAAACTGGTAGACAGTTGTGCAAAATGCCTACAACAAGTAATTTCTGCTAAATGGGGCAATACCACCTTCTAAGCCCATGGATATACTTAATAAATATAGTTTATTTATTTCTGTTAAATGATTGAAAGGGCAATTTTTCCTTGTGTTATGGTAAATATATTGCCTTTTATCTGTAAGCAGTTTGAAGAAGAGGTGTACTTCATTTATCACATAACTGATATGACCTGTGGTTACAGGGGTGGCCATGCATCAGAGAAGAGCCTTTTCTTGTGGTATCCATACCATGGCAGGGCAGGATTTCTCTCAAGTGCTTTCCGCTCACCACCTGTCTATGCAGCCTTCTTAGATGAGCCTCACGATCCCTTGGGTTTTACCAGTGGCTATCCTAGCAGACAGATAGCATGCCACTCATCTTTCTAGCTGCATGGTCCTCCTGCCCTTACTGCTATCTTTCGTGGTCCTGACCACCTCTACACTCTTATCTTCTCAATGAAACCCCATGTTCTTCTAAGATGGAGGGGGGGGGGGGGGTAGCCCCCCTGCAAGGGTAAGTTGTTTTTTTTGTTTTTTTTTCCTTGGTGTTCTTCTTTAAGTTCTAACATATGCATTTGAGTAGTGTTGCGTTCACGTACAAAAGGCAGAGTTTATAAACAAAGCTCATCTATACAAGTATGTCTGCCCCACTCCTACCCCAGATACTAAATGTACACAACCAATGACTGTTTATAGGGGAGAATACAAAGGATCTTGCAAGTACAACACACTCCTCTCAATGCGATAGGATGGAATAGAATGCATACTGTTTCGGCATCTGTGGCTTTAAAACGTTTTTTTCCATGAGAATAACTTTCTATGGCTGCTCTGTCACTGACCCTCATAAATTCATATTTAGGTGGGGACCAATTTGCCTTTTGGCTTTCTTACTCATTTCCTTTCTAACATTACACAATGCTTAACATTTTTCATGTACGTGAACTGCCTGGATGAAATTTTAATGGATTAATGCTAAAATGGTTTGCAAACTCAATTGTTCTTATTGTAATCATACTCCTGTGGATGTGGTGCGGCCCCCTGTGTGCTCAAGATAAGGCAAGGAGACAAAACCTTACAAATCTTTGTTGCCTCTATTTAGTTAGATGCTAGTGATAGGGATTGGGGAAGTGTGGTGGGTGCAGTAAAATGAAAGCATAGGCTCCACTAATATAAGCTTGACTCCCTTCCAATGCTGATCATGTGGGCCATCTTCAGATTTAATATAATGTAATAAAACATGCCAAGAACATAGAGGTTAGACAGATGTTTAGATACCACCCAAGTGCCCCCAGGAATCCTGTTTCAGGGCATCACTAAACACAATCTCATCAGGCCTATGGAGAGGGGAGCAAAGGTGCTGCTGCAACCTCTGGTTTATCAGCAGAGAACAATGGTGATTGGACAAGATATTGCAATCTGTCTGAGTATTTATACTCCTTATGAACCTAGGCTATTAATATTTGCATGGGTGTCAGTGTGTGATATCTCCTGCAGGCTTCTTAAAATTATTGTAGACTAGATTTCTCTGCAGTTGTATGTCTAAAATCTAAAGCTATATTTACTATAAGTGTCAAGGCCAACAGCAAGCCTCAAGGTTTTTATCTAAAAAAAAAGTCAAGGCAACTGGAC